AGCTCTGGTACAGATGAGGAATACAATGAAAGAATACAACTCCTAACAGAACTTGCTGACTTTGATGAGGAAAGGAAGTTGGCACAGATAAAAAGAAAATCTGAAGAAGCTGAAAAAGAGAGGCAGGGTGTAATCATACGAGAAGTAGCGATGAAATCCCTATCTGCAACGAAGACCAGGAATGATGACGTAACAGGTAATTTCCCGTGACCTTAAATATAATTTGAACATTATGTTGGATGGCATGGGTGGTGTAGTGCGTAAACCGTTCACCTCTCACCACTGTTGGCCCATTTTCGATTCCCGGCTAGGCCATAATGTAAAGAAGGTTTGATATTTTTGGGTTTCCAAAATTTGCTTGGTATATATCCCTGTTATGTGATTTTTGTCTTTCCTTCCACTATTAAACATTTACATGTTATTAATAAACCATAATAATAATAATAATAATGTTTTTCTTTTTCGCTTTGTATCTTGTGTATCATAACACTACAAATATTGGATGCACATGAGTGCAACGTCGCAGATTCTAATCAGGAGTTGAAAGCTGGACTATTCCATTTCACGAATCACGAGGCGCAGCGAGTGAAATAGAAAAGCCAGATTTCACTAAGCGATAATATTCTGCTACATTGCACGAACAAAATACATTCAATATTTGTTTTATATCACTCACACATTTGATATTTTTTCACAATACTGACACAAACTAGACACGGAAACTTGTTCAACCCACACTCGGAAAATTCTACAAACACCCTCTAAACAACTTGAACGACTCCACACTGGACACCAACCTTGTCACTTGCAGCACGACCTTGTCTTATTTGGACAAATGGGCTGGGAACAAATATTTTGGAGACGACGCTGAAAACACGGGTTCAATGTCCACAAGCGTCCAATACTTATTTTAATATTGGACGGGCCTGTCCAATGTTGTTTTGGAACGATATTACGCGCCGCGACGTGTCATGGTTATAAATACATAGCAAAGTAAGGAATGACACGTGACATGTGTCCCACCAATCAAATGACAAGGATCTGTGTGTATGGTATATAATATTAGTTATCACACAAGCAAGAGTGGAATACGGGAAAATATACCTTAGTACTTCTGCATCCCATATCCAACTCTGCCTTCAGCCTCCTTGGATATGAAATGAGATGCAGATAGCACTATTTTTCCATATTCCACGAGCACACGTGATAATGAATTTATCTTCAAGCAAACTTGACAGGCAGATGGAGTTAGAACAGCGCAATTAATACGCAGAGTGCGATAAGCCATCCAATTCTATATAAATATCATACTGTTGTTGCCATGGATTTATCAATCAGAATCAAGGATTCAAGTTTGCCTGAAGATAATTATGTAGTAGGCTAACTAGAATGCCCAATGTTATAAAAATCACTAAATTCTTGCATATTCAGGACTCATAGAAAAGACGGCTATGTAAATTATAAAATCATGATAAATAGTTCTCCAAGGAGGGTGGGTCCAACTGGAAGTAATTACTTGTCTGATTTCCATAGACACAAGTATGGCAGTTAGTGAGAAGCCCGCCGACCAGGTAGTACTTTGCAACTGGGGATAATAGTACTTTCAAGTTCTTTCGAAAGTCAAGGAAGGCGAATAGTTTGATCATCTTTCCAAATTCCCACTCAACACATTCTCGCACTGATGACATTCTTGAGTTGAATTCTTGCTCCTCAGCTGTTACGTTTGCCCCTTTGAATGGAGCTTGTAGATAACGTCTGAGTGGATACGCAGGATCCCCGTAAAGTGCAAATGGCAATCCATTTCTATCGGTCAGATTTCTTCTCTCAAATTCTTGTAGAAGTCCACTCATGCGAAGGAGAGCGCTGTCATGTCTTCGCCCCTCTACTGGGCCGTACAGATGTGTAATCAATCCACAAGGTAATACCACTGACTGGAACTTTAGGGCATGTATCCTTTTGTGCCCATTATAGCACACTCGCTGATGATGAGTTGGCCTACAAATTGGGCGAACTGTCCCATCTATAAATCCAAAGCAATTCTGCAAAGGTGCCCCTTTGTCATGAATAACATCGGCATAAACTTGTAGCTGTGCACGATCTAGCCATGGATTATCAAGGGATAGAAATCGATGGTGATGCAAATCATACAAAAGTTCAACGGTCTCATTGATAACCAGTGAAAGTGTGGATTTTGGCCTCCCGAACAACTCCTCCAAGTCAGATAGGCGATTTGGGTAAGCAAATCTTCTGAGTACCATGCAAAGAGCATCAAGACCACTGCAAGTGGACCCGTTCTTTAAAATTAGTTTCTCAGGAAGTCCAAGTAAATCTCGTAGCCGGTAAATGTCATCCTTCAAAAATCTGAACTTATCCAAGCACTGATTATTTGTAAGTGTCACTATATCAAACCTGGGCCACTCTGGATTGAATGTGACTCTCGTTGGTATCGGTGCATTGGCCAAGAGGAGGTACATCAAATCGTTATCTTCATCTTCAAGTGCAAAATCAAGTAGTCTCATGGGCGCTGCCATCTTGAAGAGTGCGCCCTCAACAGTTATCCTAAATGTAACCGTGAGGTCATAATCGAAACCCTTCTGCTTGTCGCGTCGGAACGACTGCGTACACGTTCGTGACGTGTAGCTAATTGTAGTCGTGCACACTAACCGTTCGCAATCGAAACCTACCTAATATCGCGGTAATCCTTACTTTTAGGACCCCATTCCTATATACATGATATAGGAAGGGAAAGACTCACCAAAACAGTTGACTAAATGACACTCAAAATTGACTTCTTGGCACATCTGAACAATTGGCAATGACACCTTCTTGAATATCAGCAGGTTTTTAATTTTGTGGAAAGAGGGCAGGGCTTTGTCTTTGATTTATGAGGGAAATTCAGGGGTAAAAGACGACGATGACAACCAGAAAACAGACTCAAAAACCAAGATGGCAAACGTGAAAGCTCGCTGCGATGAAAGCTCGATGCTGATTGGCTGATAAAAAATAAACATCTTATTTATTTTTAGTCTGGTTCCCAAAAGATTCAGGGGTACAACTATAGAATGCAGGGCCACTTTACTCTACATCCGCGCCTCCGTACGGCTGCGTGGAGGCGTGGAGCCGCAGTCGACCTACCTCCGAAAATCGATTGCCGCAGTCGACCTACCTCCGAAAATCGATCGTGGAGTCGTGGGATCAAAATAAGGACAGCGCATAAAAAAATAAAACAGCACACCGTGTAAACTCAATGGCGCCCCCAATCACCAATCAGTAGACTTGTCACAGTAATTTTTCTTCTCCTTTCGGGGAAGGGCAGGGTTTTAAGAAATCATCCTGCAGGGATATAGTCTGTCCAAGTTTAATCAACTTGAACGTTACAGGGAAAATATCAGACTTTATTCAGGGGATGTTTTGGTAAAACATTCACTATGAAAAAAAAAAGTTGAGATTATTATAAAAACCACAATTCCCACATACCGCGATAATAGGGAGTCCACCTCCATTCGCACATTCCGAGCATGTCTATTTTCACAGGCATTTGAAAAGGAAGAGTTATACAACCTAAGAGACAGGACAATTTGGGAAGGTTAGCGGGCAATCTCCATTCCAAACAAGATCACATGATAAGTACCGCGATAATACGGCGTTCCATCCTACATGCTTACTGCCACTGCCAGCATCCTACTGTCTGAAAAAATACCAAGGACATTTCACTTAATGTCCAGAACTCCAGGTATGGAATCTTTCCGGAGTATTTTTTAACCCTAACCCACCTCGCTCCTCCACAATCCTTCTGGTGGTTTTGGAGGATTCTAGAGGATTGAGGATGAATGGTGATTGAATCAAATGAGGATTCTGGAGGATATTGAGGATGAATGGTGATCGAAGCACATGAGGATTCTAGAGGATTGAGGATGAATGGTGATTGAATCAAATGAGGATTCTGGAGGATTGAGGATGAATGGTGATTGAATCACATGAGGATTCTGGAGGATTCAGGATGAATGGTGATTGAAGCACATGAGGATTTTGGAGGATTGAGGATGAATGGACGGTGATTGAAGCACATGAGGATTCTAGAGGATTGAGGATGAATGGTGATTGAAGCATAGAAGGATTCTGGAATTGAGGATGAATGATGATTGAAGCACATGAGGATTCTGGAGGATTGAGGATGAATGGTCATTGAAGCACATGAGGATTCTAGAGGATTGAGGATGAATGGTGATTGAAGCGCATGAGGATTCTGGAGGATTGAGGATGAATGGTGATTGAAGCACATGAGGATTCTAGAGGATTGAGGATGAATGGTGATTGAAGCACATGAGGATTCTGGAGGATTGAGGATAAATGGTGATTGAAGCTCATGAGGATTCTGGAGGATTGAGGATGAATGGTGATTGAATCAAATGAGGATTTTTGAGGATTGAGAATAAATGCATTTTGTGGCAGGACTGTCTGATGATTTTGAAGGATTTGGCATTGGTTATCCTTCATTTAAACATGAGTGCAAAATTTTGGGATGAGGAGGATTTTGGAGGATTGACGATGAATGCAGTTTGAGGCAGGACTGTCTGACAATTTTGAAAAATTTGGCGGAGTTGCAAAATTTTGGAGGATTGAGGATGGTTTTAAGCAAAAAGGGCCTAGGGGGTTATTAATGCTTTAATTGCATACATTGTGAGACTTTCTTTTTATTGCTCCATGATTGTATAGTAATTCTTTCAGAACTGTAAGTGTAAGGGTTTTAAACTAAGTTCAGGAAGTATGGTCAGGCCCTACAGGCCCCATTTTTATCTTTTGTAAATTTGTCAGTTTTTTGGGAAATTGTTCTCAAATTTCACAGTAATTACTGTCAACCAAATTCTTCAAACAATGCCCTTTCCAAAAATAGCAGACGAAAACAATATTTGAACTAAACCTTATGAATTAGAAGGTAAAGATGTTTAAGTAACTTGTTTTGCTTTGTTTCTTGAAGATGACAGAGTTTGAAGGTTCTACCAAGGATGTCAACTGTGGAGCACATACAGGATGCAGAGCACAGTGATGACGTATCACCATGGCAACACGTATCGCTCAACATCACTTGAATGAGATTGTACCGTACCTGACATCATTAATTGTAAAGAGCGCCACCTGTTGTTTGGTTATCGATCAACATTAATGCAGCAGATAATGCAGCGGTAGGCTATATAGGCCTGTACGTCAGGTAAGTCTGGACTATTTATTTCTCAAAATTCAACTTCTTTTCGGCGTTCTGCAAAGATTCCCATTTATCTGGACATCACTAATTTTTTCTCTACAGTGACCTATATCACCATTAAAAGGGATAATATGTCCAAAAATGTAGGATTTAGCAGGGGAAAGTTGCTACCATGGCATGCCTACTGAGAAAACATGTCAAAGGACATTTCCTAGTCTTTGTTGGTCAGTGACGTCTGAGGTATGGGTGTCTTTCCAGAGTATATTTGAATGCTTTGCATACATTGTTGGGTAAGACCTCTTTTTATAGCTCCATGATTGTATAGTCATATAGTCAGCAGGGCCAGGGCCTATTGTTTTTAGTTCACCGCACCTACCCCAATTAAGACCCAGTATCAATGCACACATATAGTGGTGTTCCCTAACGTGGCGCACTGCGACGTTTCTCCTGACTTTCCTCATGCACGGTTGCCAAACTTCTTTGTTGATAAACTTCAAATTCATTCAGTTATTACTGGTACTTTTTCAGTAGTGTTTGCCATTTAAATTCTGTAAACAATTTCACTGTCATACAATTCTGAACAAAACTTAAAAACGGTGGCGTCCGGAAATTGGGTCAAAAATCAGCTTAGTGTTCCCTAACACAGCGCACTTGCGTAAATCTTGGAAAATTCCAGGTTAACACTGAAAAAGTTATTTAAAGTTAGCAAATTCTTATTTAATAAATATATCTCTTACTTTTCCCAACTAGAAGAATGTCCGAAATTGTTTTTCTTATTTTGGGCTGAGTATATCATTGGTGAGTTGAAGGTAGATTGTTTCTTGATTATAATTTGAGTTAGAAATGTGATTCAGGTTTGTAACTTCAGGGGTTGCCCTTCAGGAAAATCAAGTTTGGATTGATTTGGGGGTCAAAAGGTCAAAGGTCAATGTCATTGGTCAAGGTCTAGGTCATTCTAATTTCTATTGACCAGCAATTATCCTACTACATGTACTTGTAATTTCACACCTTATATCAACAAACTCAGGCCGAGGGGTTTCAACAGCACCGCTGTATTTTTTTAGGAAAGTTGCAGTAATGTTTATTGATTCATTTTATTTCATTAACAGCTTTGAAAATGGAGTTGAGGCCAGACAGACAGGGGGCATAGGACTGCATATTTGCTCTCAGGTCATTTTATCTAATGCATTTAATGTTAGACGCTATTCGTTTTTGAACTTTTCTCCAAAAACCTGAAAATATTTATTGCCAATCACCCTCTATTATTCAGGACCAATTTATTTTTTGGAATTATTCTTGACCATTCTCTTTATTTGGTGAACAATTTTGACCATCGTCTGACTAGAGGCGTTTGCATGTTGATATTAGTGCTCAGGCATCAAATTACGTCAGGAATCGACCACTAGTCTCGCCCCAACTTGCTCATAGTTGTATCTGTGGCATGGTTTAGCTGTATTGGCCCTTTTTAGGGGAAAAAAGTAGTGCAGGTGGGAAAATTATCAGAAAAACTAAGATGACATTTTTGTCTGTTTGCGTTTCTAGAGTTACTTCAACAACGACGATAGGTTCAACTACAACTATGCGCAGGCCAAAGCCACAGCAGGCAACTACAAGGAAGCAGAGGAGGTAGGTTGGACTCCCGGACCCAATTTTTGTTGTTGCGCCCTCAATAGTTGGCCAGTCATGGCGCAGTGACTCGTCATGGTGCCTAAACTAGTCATGGTGCCTTTCATTTGCAGACATCAAAAACCCAAACTACCAAGTTATTATGAAATACCTGACTGTTAGGGAATAATAGTCTCAAGCATCCTGTGAAATCACGGCACCTGGTGTGCTGTTATTTTCAAGAAAAGTGGAATTTTGTATCAATTTCCACCGATGGTCAGCCCTGTTTGAGAGAGAAGCCTGACTTTCTGTCTGTTCTCATCCATATACTGTTGCCGTATACCTAGATGTAGAACAAAAAGATATTCCAATAGCTTATTTTCCCACGTGCTGCATCTCTTTGGAATTCCTTGCCTGGTGCTTATTTCCCTCCAACCTATGATCTGTCCTGATTCAAGAGGAGTGTGGAGTGCTGTGGCCTCGTGGTTAAGGGCGTTGGATTCGTGGTCTGCGGGTAAAGCTGCAGGTTGTGGGTTTGAGTCCAGCCTGGGTCATGGTGTGTGTGCCCTTGGGCAAGGCACTTTGTCACTCATTGCTTCTCCTCACCCAGGAGTAATAGGCTCTCAGCTTTGGTCCAAAAATTGGAACACCGGTACGACGATCGAAAAGAGCAATGCTCATAGCGATTTTTTGAAAGGCACATCTAGAGTTGGAGAATGTGTGATAGCTTTGCAGTGTGAGTGGTGGCAGTGTTATCACTTTTGATTTGTGTTTTCAAAATTGCCATCAATATGCTTGAACCGGATCAATTATATGTGGTAACAAGCATGTTTTAGCCACCATTTAAAAAAAGAAAAAAGGGATAGCACCCAAAAAGCTGCCACCGCTGCAATGCTGTCACATATTTTCTGACTAGAGGGGTGCATACCTTGCCAAAAATCACAATGAGCATTATTGCCCTCATTTGATACTGACCAAACCCCCACACTGATGGCTTATAAGTGGGTGCCTATGAGGGCAGAGATGTGTGGTTGATTTAGCTGCTTTGCTCCGACTTGTAGCCCTGTATATCTGGAGTGGCTTTTAGCCTTGTTCAGGGCAAATAGGCATGAAAAAAATCAAGTCTAAAACCCGGATGGGGATCTTTCTGTGCCTCCTAGACCACTGTTTTGGTGGGAATACTTGGTTTTACCATTATTTAATTGGAGTGGGTTTCGTTTCTCTTGTTTCCAGATGCTCATTCAGAGTGAGAAGATCAAGAGTGACTACACGTGTCTCTGGTTGGCAAGATGCTGTGAGTATTACCGTCAATTTGTGAATGACGTTTCCTCTTCCAACTTCCAAGTTGCTAATGATGGGAATGAATCCACCTGTTAAGCCTCAACTCATAATGTATTGACCACTCCCAATTGTGACTGCACAACCAAATGTCCAACTAAAGTCACGACACGTCGCGTGCATGCATTTCATGTACTGCTGGAAAATCCAGAGTGGCATTAGGGAGATGCACATGTTGCCCATGTGTGAGGTAGACTGAAGGGTCTCTAACAATGACATAACCAGCATGCAATCATCGCCCTGATTGTATATTAAGGATGTGACTTTGCGTTTCATTTTGTAAACGTTAAGCAAATATTTTAAGAACTGTTTTAAATGTTTAGCCATTGACAGTGGCTTTTGCCTACCCATTATGTCTGATCTGCAGACCGGCGTGATTGACGTGATAAATCAACAATGGTTGACATAGTAAATAGCAGGCAGTCGTTGATAAAGTAAAAATGTAACTTCGGTGTTCCCCAAATGTAATCAAGTACTACGGTGCTTCTAAGGTTTTGTAAATTAAGTAGGTTTGAAAACAACGTGAATTATTTGAGCTATGTGTGGATATCTCCAAGGAAGATCGGGTGAACGGAGGTCCCTTTTTTAATTCTGGTTTTGTTTACATGATTTGAGAATTTGTAAACGGATTTAGAAGTTTTTTTGTTTAAACGTGTAAACATCACATGTTAATCATATACTTGCCATGTTGGATTTGTTCTATCACATTTTAAGCAGATTGTACGACAGAAATTTGCTACATTGAACATCCCTCTTGGCTCCCAAATATTGTACACAGTTACACTGAGCATTGCTGGCCGAAAATTGCTGAAACGGGCATCATCCCCTATTTTTGTCCGTTGTATGTTTGGTCAAGATTTTGGCATTAGCCCCAAATTAGTATGCAGTCACTCAATCTCAACCTGCAGCTGATTTCACGAAACAGATTTGTTACTTCGTCAAAACCCAAATCGTAGAGGAGACATAAATCTAAAATATAACGCATGTGTAGAAAAGAATGCAGTATCCAGACGCCACTTCAGCAGTTGTGTACAAAATCTATGGAGAGTCAAGAAAACTTTCCAAGTATTTCCAAACAAAATTGGAAATGTTTCTCAGTCCCAGATTCATGTGTGTGAAACATTTTTGCAATGACTGATCTTTATTGAGATGATGTGTGAAGACAAAAGTGGCGTCTGATTGCAACATTGTTTTCACGTGTAAAATCAACGAGAATACGAATCCCCGTCAAAAAGAAAAAAAAATGATTCGCTGCACATTTACCACTTTGTGTCATTAGCTTGAATAATGAAGGATGCACTTTTGTGTCGCAAACTGTGGTAAGCATGTAGAGGGCATCATAAAATATTAGAATAGCCCAAAATCCCAAACTGCTTAAAAATATTGATTTGGGACAAATTCATCACTTTGTCAACACTGTGGCGATATGATCGAAAAGTTCAGGTTTGTCATTCGGAATTCTGATTTTTTTGCTCGACTTCAAAATATAATTGTCACGGTCTCTCGATCCTCAAATCTCATCTTTTCTATCGGTAGATGGCCAGTTCTACTATGCGACCAAGGCTTTCGGTGTCCTGGAAAGATTGGACCCCAATCCTGAATACTGGGAAGGTAAGCGAGGGGCGTGCGACTGGGCGTATTCCAGCAGATCATAGCTGGTCATGAACCAAGGTGGGTGTCATCTCTGTCAATCAGCAGTGCACACTGACCAATCAGATCTCAACCTTTGGTCAGGTGACCACATACATCGATCAAACAGTGCGTACTGACCAATTACATCTCAATTAGTATATCACTCCGGTGCTCTACCAACTGAGCTATCCAGCCCAATGTTGGCGGTTCCCTAATTGTCAATGTCTCTGTCAAAGGGGCGCTAGTCAGAAGCCCTCAACCCGCATATGCCATGCAGCCAGGGATCACGCCCAAAGTCACGATGCAGACCTGGCAAATATCAAACGGGGATCACTCAGAGAGGATACGGCTTTTTATTACAAATTTTCATAAATACTTTTCAACTTCTTAGCCCTCTAGTTCAACTTCATTGATCTCTATGGATTTTTCCATTGTCCCCATATTCTATAAACAGCTTTCAGTTTCACTATTAGGTTTTGCCCTTCACTGACGTAAAAACACTGCTTACTCAGTTTGTTACCTCCCGAGTGAAAGTTGGAATAAATCACTCGGTTGGGACTCGAACCCATGACCTCCTGCTTTTTAGTGCAGACGTCTTAACCACTGGACCATCAAGCTTACAGAATTGGTTGCCTTGAGCCAGCCAACCAACCCCGTAAGCTCCATGGTCGAGTCGTGGGTTCGAATCCCACCCAAGTGATTATTTTTCCAACTTTCACTCGGGAGGTAACACACTGAGTATACAGTGTTTATACATCGGTGAAGGGCAAAACCTAACATTGATTTACATCACCCCGACGCAAAGTCCATGTTAATAGCTTTCATTTTCATGTGCACAAAACCCAGTGAAGTTCAAGCCACTAGATTTTTGTCATTTTTTTCCTCTACAGAGAAACACTGCGAGACATCCTCCAAATCTTGCGCAACACCGGTAACCCGCAGGTGGAATACATCATCCGTGTCATGAAGAAGTGGGCCAAGGACAACAGGGTACCAGTTTCCTGAGGTGGTCCCTATCCTATAGTCTTGAGATTGTTTAAATTTGTACATTCCAAAAACCCCTGCTTGCAAAGGGATTTTCCAAAAATAAAATAATGGAACGATACTGTTGATTAGGGGTGATTTAATTATTCTTGACGCATGGGAAATTTGCCTTGAAATTTCTCTATTTAGCTTTGGCAAGATGGTTATGCAGGAGAAAACAACAGTTCTGGAGAGAGGCTGGTCTCTCATGGCATAAACAAAGAAGACTTGCCTAGTTAAGCTGGACTCTGTGACTCAGTCAGTGACTCAGTCAACAACTCAGTGACTCGATCAGCGACTCCATGATTCAGTCAGATTCAGTCAGTGACTCAGTCAACAACTCAGTGACTCGATCAGCGACTCCATGATTCAGTCAGATTCGGTCAGTGACTCAGTCAGTGACTCAGTCAACAACTCAGTGACTCGATCAGTGACTCCATGATTCAGTCAGATTCAGTCAGTGACTCAGTCAGTGACTCAGTGAGCGACTCAGTGACTCGATCAGCGACTCAGTGATTCAGTCAGTGACTCAGTCATTGATTCGGTCAGCGACTCGGTTAAGGAATCACTCAGTGACTCATTGAGCGACTCAGTGGCTGTCATCAACTCAGTGACTTGGTCAGTGACTCATCGCGCAGTCAGTGATTCGGTCAGTGACTCGGTCAGTCAGTGATAATAGTGACTGACTCGATCAGTTAATACTCAGTGACTCGGTCAGACAGTCAGTCAGGCAGCATTGAAATGTTCATCATAATTATGAATGTTCACGTCACAAATGTTGCTTACATGTAGGACAACTCTGCAAGTTTGTTTTCTTGGAGTTTCTGGGGCCTGTTTAGAGACAAGCCAACGGCATGAGAATGGGCCAGGAATGGTTATTCAAGGAGGGGGGTAGTCATCTGTACGTAATGTAATTATACTAATTAATGGTTTATATTGATATAAATATACATGTACAAATTTTCAGAGCACGTTTGTCAGGTAATTAGGGTGTAAGGTCCAGAAGGCATGAAACAAATTGAAAATAAGTGATTTGAACTGAGCCCAATTTCATAGCGCTGCTTAGCACACAATTTCTGCCAGCAGAGCCTCTCCGTCTATCTATCACATTGTCAATACTATATTTTTTTCATGTACAATATTGGGAAAGAATGTTGCAACCTGATGCTGCTTTTTCTTCATATCATCTCAATGAAGTCATTCATTGCAAAAATGATGATAAGACATGAATCTGGGACTGAGAAATACTTCAGAGAAAATTGTCTTGACGCTCCATAGACTTTGAACACAACCGCTGAAGTGGCGTCTGGTTGCAACATTCTTTTCCAATATTGTGTGATATTCTGACTTCATTTCTTTATTTCATCTGTAAAAATTAAATGTTTACTGCCTTTCTTTAAAGGGAAGATACAACATTTGCAAACATCACAAAACGAAATGATCAAATATCGCGAAATACCTTACTGGATTGTTGGGGAATGACAGTCTAAAGCATCCTGTGAAATCGTGGCTCCTGATGTGCTGACATTTTTAAGAAAAATTGTACTTTTCCAACGCTGGTCGGCCGACCAGCATTGAGAAAACTGGCTATTTTTCAAAAATTGCTCCCAATTTTTTATAATTAGTTATTCCGCATTTTCTTTGCAATTGATTACACACCTGTGAAGAGGTATAAGTCTGCTAGACTGATTCTCTGACCTTACAATTCCCCAAAGTCTATTAATTGCTCCGTTTTATCTTATAAGTGGGGTCACCAGACTGCAAATACATGTCTGGTTTTCTTGGCTTTTCCAGCATCTACAAGCCCAACGTGAAAAAAGTCATTTTAACAATATTTGCTAAAACATACTAATCCTCCAAATCCATTTATTTCTGAAAATTGCAGCAAAAGCAAATGTTGTACATTCCCTTCAAGTCCGATAAATCTTATCTTGCAGTGTAAATATTGTGTAGGTGAATTTTAAAAGTAAATGTTACTTAAATTGTTGTTGAAATGCTGTGCATAGTTCTTTTGAATAAAGGGATATTAAATCATCACAATAAATAAAAGTGAAAAAAAAATACCTGTTTGTTATTGATTTGTTTGTTTCTTGGTAGTTTGTTTGGGATTCTGAAAACAAAACTTCAGTTTATTTAAAAGATAAGTTCAGTAAATTTATGTTTGGGCATGGGGCTATAAAAAGTTGGGAAGGTAAAAAAAAAAGAATAATATAATTTCAATTTGTTTAAAAGTAAGCTCAGTCAATTCATTTTTGGGAAAGAAAAAAAGTGAAGACAATTGAACAACAATACTATGGTGGGACTCGAACCTGAGTCGCCAGATTGGGAGTCCTACGCCGGTCCAGCAGACCATTGTCGCACTTAAACAAAGCTACAGTTCTGCTTTATCATAACCGTAAGATAGGCTTATCGTGGCTTTTCACGTTGACGCCCATGCACGCTTAGACGTAAAACACAGTCTGACGATGTAAAACATTCGTTTGATTTTTGGTGTAGCTGTTCTAATTGATCTAAATTTAATTGGAAAAGGGTAAAGGGTGTCAACTGAACTAAAATTGTGAACTTCAATGAAATAAAACTCGTACAATCCTTGGTTTCAGTACGAAACACACGTGTTCAACGGATGCAGAGAAGCCTATTTCTTTTGTTAAATTCCTTTGTTGGATCTGGCGTTAACAATAAAATGTTTCCATTGAGGGAAAAGGATTAAACGCCGCGATCTTTTTTCACGCTTGAGTGCCTCTGAATGGGGAATATTGAAGCGGAAAATCACGATTTACTGCACTTAGGCAGCATTTTATACCACATTATGATACTTTTGAAGAGGAAATTGCATACTGAATACATCTATAGTTTCAAAATTCAAAAATTCGCCGTATTTAAAAAGTCGAGGAAATTTTTTTGGAAAAATTTCACCAAAACTTTCCTCATCCTCGTAGGCGGCGCTATATATATATTTCATTCTCAGTGCGCGCATTGTTAGCGCGATAGCCGCCGCCCGATCTGTGTATCACCCGTTTACCCAATCTTATTTTAGCATCACAATTTCAATTTATCTCACGAATTAAATTTGAATAGGTCTACAACTAAAACAATAGATAATTAAAGTCAGTGAAAAAATACAATCCGAATAAAAGTCAACTTTAATGAACAAAAGAGACGCGTATAAGGATATTAATAAAAGGGCCCCGGTATACACATGAGCAAGAGGGAGGCGGGAATTTTTTGTCGTATGAGATGGGGGAGGGGGGGGGGGGGGGGGGGGGAAACAAGCGAAATATATTTATTAAAGTCGTAAGTGGAAAATGTTTTTTAAATAAAAGGGCTATAAACTGTACATGTATACAAAACAGGCAGCCAGCCCGCCCCCCATCCCCTTGCAATGCCATACACACACGCTAATGCGCTAGCCACTCTGGATACGGTGCACGTGCGAGAATGAAATATATATAGCGCCGCCTACGTTAAGATGAGGAAAGTTTTGGTGAATTTTTCCAAAAAAATTACCTCGACTTTTTAAATACGGCGAATTTTTGAATTTTGAAACTATAGTTATATTCAGCATGCAATTTCCTCTTCAAAAAGTATCATTATGTGGGATAAAATGCTGCCTAAGTGCTGTAATTCGTGATTTTCCGCTTCAATATTCCCCATTCAGAGACACTCAAGCGTGAAAAAAGATCGCGGCGTTTAATCCTTTCGCCTCAATGGAAACATTTTATTGTTAACGCAGATTCAACAAAGGAATTTAACAAAAGAAATAGGCTTCTCTGCATCCGTTGAACACGTGTGTTTCGTACTGAAACCAAGGATTGTACGAGTTTTATTTCATTGATTTCAGGATTTTACTTCAGTTGACACCCTTTACCCTTTTCTAATTAATTTAGATCAATTAGAACAGGCTACACCAAATCAAACGAATGTTTTCATCGTCAGACTGTGTTTTACGTCTAAGCGTGCATGGGCGTCAACGTGAAAAGCCACGAAAAGCCTATCTTACAGTTAATTAAGTAGAACTGGTTGAGCATTTGAGTGCGTTAATGGTCTTGTGGACCGGCGTAGGACTCCCAATCAGGCGACTCAGGTTCGAGTCCCACATTATTTTATTGTTACTTAATTTCCTTCCCTTTTTTTTCTACATTCCCGAGACATAAATTGACTGAACTTATGTTAGAAAATTGAAGTGTTGTTTTCAGAATAAAATAGAATTAAAAATATAAAATATTCTTTTTTTATATTGTTTATTCCTCCATGATTGGATCAAGAAATTCAAAACTATGGAGAGACAAGTTTAGAAATAACACAGTGTTTCCTGAAAAGCAGTTAAAATTTTATTTCTTTCAACTCCAAAGTAACAGTCTATATGAATTTAACTTAACACAGAGTTATCACTGACTATGGTATTCTCGAACTAGTTGCAGAGCATTTTGTTACACAAAATAAAACATCATATTTAACCAAAACATTTCACGCATGTCAGTACTGCATGCGTACAGTTTTACAAACAAATGATAAGGACTAGTAACTGGGTTTTGGCATTAAAGATGACTCATTGTCCAAAATCAAGTATTTTTTCAAAATCAAAAAAATATATAATTAATATTCTCCGGAAATGTAGTGTGTTTAAGCGCTCAAGATACTGGCGATCTTGAGTCAACTTTCATGACAAAAAGCAATGCAATCGGTTTCGAGAAGATAACTCAAGAAGTACTTGGTTGCATTAATTTGAAATATTGCATAACGATTCAACCTGATATATGTATCAAATCTCTTGATTTTGGATATCATTGTTGACCAATAATAAAAAATATACACAAGACAATGTGGCATGTAAGCGCGCAAATACAAGGCGAATTTGAGTCAATATGTTTATGGAACAAAAACAACACACACTCGTTGTGAGACG